GCAAATCAGGTACCTAAAGGGAGAAATCAATGATTGTGCAGGGAGAAATGGAGTGTGTGGGTTTGTCTTCATCCTCTATATCTGGCAGCATTGTGAGGAAGGGAATGGGATAGTTAGAGACTGGAGTTGGAGATCTCAATTACTGACCAATAGTATTGCATATAGAAATCAGAGGTCTGGATTTGATAGTATTTCTTTAATATTGTATAATTTTTAGAATCCCTGGGTGTGCTTATGGGTCTTACAGATTTTGAGACTTCTGACCTGGAATTTCTGAGGCTGTGAGTCTGGAGTGGGGCTTAGGTCCTGGTCTGTAATCCAGGCTGCAAACTAGAATCAAGTAGAAAATTTTTTGAGAATACATACAAAGAAGTCCAACATAGACTAATTAAATCTGAATCCCTGGAAGAAGAGCCCAGGCATATGAATTTTACAAAAGCTTCACAGTTGGTTTCAGTGTTACGTCTGGTTTGAGATCCACTAGGCTCAAATATCTGAATACTGAATGAGTAAATAATGGATGAGCTTCTTTGCAATCAAATAGTAAATAAGCACACTCAGGGATTGTAACAATTGTACAAGATTCTTATGATTAATTTTTGGAAAAATTGAACCAGAAATGAAGTAGAAACAAATGCATAAAATTTTTTGAAAATAGAGAACAGCACAATCTGTTCTAATTCATCAAAGATCATGATACATATTTATTGTTTATTTTGAAAGTGACATCTGGACCATCAGTGAGTGTAACAACTTCAGCCCAAAGCAGTGAAGTGACATCATCTGAAGCCAAGTCAGGTGAGTAGAGCATGTCACTCAGAGTCTGTGGCTTTTCTCCTAAGAGACAGTCTTTCATGAGAACTCTGCTGATTTCACTTGATATTAATTAATCAAATGCCATCCAACAAAACATGTAGAATGGTGTATAACTGAGTCACAATTTCAGGAAATTTTTAATTTTTCTTGTTTCTCCAAATCTCCCATTCAGAAATTCTACAGTACTGGGTTGTCACAATAATGTGTATGCTCATTCAGTGCTGTGTGTATCAGTGCAACGGGAGAATCTGTTTGAACCACCCCTGAAATTGGTGGTGGAGTCCCAGCGAGAATATCTTCCAGTGTCCCAGACCACCTGGAACTCAGGTGGCCAGGCCTAGGCTAAGCAGGGCACTTTAGTAGTGGTGCATCATGAGTTTAGCTGGGACTCCAAATTCTCTTAAGTTTAAGTGAAATTAGTCATGGCTATAATTTTAAGAGAAATGATCATGTGTAGTTTAATTCCTAGTATACACTTCAGTACCACCCCCCTGAAAATAACCCCTGAAATCTCTTTATAGATTAATTTTATAATAATCATCTCTGAAGACTATGGTTTCCAGAAAAATTAGTGGATGCCAGTTTAGTTTGAATTTCACATACAGGAGGAATAGTTTTTTAGTATAAATATGTCTTATTCAATGATTAGAACATGGTTGTTTGTTGTTTACCTGGGATGCCAATGTAATTGGGTGTTGAGCATTCTTATCTGCCCAACTCTGGAAACCCAAAGCAGACTGAGCACCACTGTTGTTTTCAATTAGGAACAACTGGAGGGGAAAATGTAGACACCACAGGACATGACGGTGAAAACACCTCTGGAGCATCAGGTATGTAAAAAGCCTAATCAGAAGAAATCTAGACAGTAGAAATGTGATTTAGATACTTAAAATGTTGTTAGACACAAGACATCCTGGGAAGTTTAATTATTATTTGTATGATGTTGAAACTGCAGAAGATCAGAAATAAAATAAGAAATATTGGGTGTGTGTGTGTGTGACACCATTACCAGGTGCTATAGGCTACATGAGAGAGCAGTGGAGTGAGATACTTGTTATCATAGAACTTAAATTTTAGCAGCAGAAATAAATATTTATCATACACACAAAGGCAAAAACCATGCAAAGCGGGAATCAAAGTCAAGAAATTGTTTATTGAGAAGTGTTGGGTTAGCAACTTGAGAGGCAATTCTAAGGAAACTGATTTGTTAGGCATAAAAATAACAGCATTATTCTATTTTGAAAAGAATATGTTATAATCAGTGCATTGTGAACTGTATCTATATGCCTTAACTTGAACAAAAACTCAAAATACAAGTAAGCTGATTGCAATTTCAGGGATATATTTACTATCAGGGAAATGAAGAGCAGTTATGTTTCTGCTGTTGGGGAAGTAGAATTGAAAACAGAGTATTCTATAATAAACCTAGAACCATCTACGTGAGGTAGCAGAGAATAAAAATGGACTTATTACTGAGTAAGTTTTAAAACAGACTGTGATGCACTTCGCAGGCGGTCTGCTAAGAGATTGCAAAAACAGAGAGAGAAATCTCAGTCTTTTGTAGCCAAACAAATACAATTGAAAACATACATACTCTCAAGATAAGCAGCAATAGTCTGCAAGTAAGAGGACTTGGCAGCACCATTTATTACAGAATCCATCCTAAATTCACCCCTGGAAATGAAGCAGCTGAGTGAGGTGTTCACAGCTGAATGTGTGGAGAGCCTTTCTCATCCAACCTCTTAAATGTTGTATCTCTGTTGTAAATATTTGATGAGCTGGTTAATTATTCAATACACCAAAATGCTTTTGTTACAAGCATGAGTACCTTAGTTAGTGATGGTATCAACCTGATGCTTAATTTGTATTGATGCTCCTGGGATCCAGTAGTATTTAAGCTCAAGAAACCAATGGAAAAATTCTTAGAAAAATATACAAAAACAAAAAACAAAAAAAGGTGTAGGATAATGGTAGCTGCATAAATTAGAATGAACAGATTCCTTTTTTTTACAAACCATAGAGATCAATACAGAGTCTACATCTAGAGTGTTTAGATGTGACAGACAACACTAAATCTTCAACGTCTGGCAAAGATAGCTTTAGGGCTCACAGTGGAGCTGAGATTCAGATCAGGGCATCCCANATAAACCTAGAACCATCTACGTGAGGTAGCAGAGAATAAAAATGGACTTATTACTGAGTAAGTTTTAAAACAGACTGTGATGCACTTCGCAGGCGGTCTGCTAAGAGATTGGAAAAACAGAGAGAGAAATCTCAGTCTTTTGTAGCCAAACAAATACAATTGAAAACATACATACTTTCAAGATAAGCAGCAATAGTCTGCAAGTAAGAGGACTTGGCAGCGAAACAGAGAGAGAAATCTCAGTCTTTTGTAGCCAAACAAATACAATTGAAAACATACATACTCTCAAGATAAGCAGCAATAGTCTGCAAGTAAGAGGACTTGGCAGCGCCATTTATTACAGAATCCATCCTAAATTCACCCCTGGAAATGAAGCAGCTGAGTGAGGTGTTCACAGCTGAATGTGTGGAGAGCCTTTCTCATCCAACCTCTTAAATGTTGTATCTCTGTTGTAAATATTTGATGAGCTGGTTAATTATTCAATACACCAAAATGCTTTTGTTACAAGCATGAGTACCTTAGTTAGGAGAGCCTTTCTCATCCAACCTCTTAAATGTTGTATCTCTGTTGTAAATATTTGATGAGCTAGTTAATTATTCAAATACACCAAAATGCTTTTGTTACAAGCATGAGTACCTTAGTTGGTGATGGTATCAACCTGATGCTTAATTTGTATTGATGCTCCTGGGATCCAGTAGTATTTAAGCTCAAGAAACCAATGGAAAAATTCTTAGAAAAATATACAAAAACAAAAAACAAAAAAAGGTGTAGGATAATGGTAGCTGCATAAATTAGAATGAACAGATTCCTTTTTTTTACAAACCATAGAGATCAATACAGAGTCTACATCTAGAGTGTTTAGATGTGACAGACAACACTAAATCTTCAACGTCTGGCAAAGATAGCTTTAGGGCTCACAGTGGAGCTGAGATTCAGATCAGGGCATCCCAGAAGACAGGGAAGTACAGTGTTGAAAGATCCCAACAGTGGTAGAACTTACAGTTCAATCAACTAGGGTTAAGACCTGGAAGGAAAGAGCCCTACCCTGAATAGGAAATACTGAGAGAAGATCTGAGACCCAGCAAATCAGAGCACTGGTGAATATGGAGTGGAAAGAAAGAGTTTTGGGAGTGCATGGAATGAGAACTGGAATTCCTGGGAAGGCATTGACCACTTCTAGAGGAGAGGGAGGCATTTCAGAAGTTAGAGAAATCCCTGGGGCCTGGTGTCACAGAAAAAAAAAAAAAAAAGAGGATGTGAAGACAAGGTCTCAATGAAACAGAGTAATAACTGAGAATTGAAATAAGACAAAGAAACGATGCCGCTTATAAAGGGGAGCTTCACTGCAAGAACATAAGAGGGGACCCTGGATCTAATACATGGGGACCCACACGAAGCTTCTCTGCCACCCACTGCAGAGAGAGGATCCCCTGCTGTTGATGATCCAAGAAAATAAAATACAAAAACAACAAAAACATGAAAAATAACAATAAAATTTCAATATCTAAGCACAGATATTTCTTCTAGGCTATTTTTAAATACATTTTCAAAAAATTTTTAGCCATAGCAAGTAAATTCTAAAAATACAGGCATGGAGCCGAGGAATACTGAAAGATAACACCAACATGAATTTAGCATAACTAAAGAAATATGCAAATATTAATAGACATCAAAAATTATAATTTAAAAACTCAGAGTAAAAAGTAGATAAATGGCCAGAATATGTTAACTTGCAATTGATGAGAACTCTGGAGAGAAATTAAAGAAAAGGAAAGTTATCCCCAAAGTAAAGAACAAATAGTAAGGTGTCTACAGAGATTAACAAGAGAGAAATCTTATTCTGAAATTATAGCAAGGGGATTAGATGATAGAACTGAGAAGAGGTCTTGTGCCCCCACAATATTGCAGATACTTTTTAAAAAGATAAAACTGATCAGAGAAGGATATAGTTACAGAAAACAGGCAACATATGTAGTAACATATAGTTACAGAAAATAGGCAACATATAATATATATAAGTCTGACATATGTATGTATTATTGCAGTTTCTGAGAACGAAAAGCAATGAAACAGAGCTAATATTTAAATATGTAAGTCAGAAAACATTTCCTGAAATTAAAACCAAAAAGACCTCTATCTATTTTTAAGAACCCACCATATACCTGGAAGAATTAATCTTGGACAGTAAATATTGTAACTTATCCTAGAAAACTGTTAGACTTGGCAGATTAAAAAAAAAAGAAATTCTTTGGATCTCAGACAAAAGGAACAAGCCATTGAAAAAAAAGTCAGATTAGCATCAGATTTGTCAAGTGTATACTCAAGAAAAGTAAATGTAAGCGTACTCAGGGAAAGAAAATGTGTTTTATATCATAGTAAACATAATTCAAGTATCAAGTCTATAAGAAAACAGTTTAAAACATGGAAGTACTTAGAAAATTAGGTATCAAGAAACACCTCATAATACATTCACTCCAGGGTGAGTGGTAAGCAACAGAAAGATGCTTGTGTTTTTTCCCTCCTGTTATCTCAAACATTGATTGTTTCTCTATGTTGGTACATTCAAAACCGTATTCCCATCCAGCCTCTGGTAATTACTATCGTCCTGTCTGTTTCTATGCTATCTACTTTCGAAGCTTCCCCATATGAGTGAAAACATGTGGTATTTCTCTTACTGTTCCTTGCTTATTTAGTTAACATAATGTCCTCCAAGCTCATCCATGTTGCTGTGAATGATGTAATTTCATTATTTTATATGGCTGAATAGATTTCCCTTGTGTGTATATATGATATTTTCTTTATCCATACATCTGTCAATGGACACGGGTTGAATTTGTAACATGGATATTGTGAATGGTGCTGCAATAAATATGGGAGTGCAGGTATATCTTCAATATACTGATTTCCTTTCCTTTGGATACATACCCAGTAGTGGAATTGCTGGATCATATGGTAGTTCTATTTTCAGTTTTTTGTGGAACTTCAATACAGTTTTTTTCATAATGGCTATACTAATTTCTATTTCCACCAACAGTGTATAAGAATTCCTTTTTCTCCATATCCTTAGCAGCATTTGTTATTTTCTGTCTTTTGGATAATTCCCATTCTAACTGGAGTGAGATGATATCTCATTGTAGTTTTGATTTACATTTCACTGATGATAAGAGCATTTTTTCATAAACCTTTTGGCCATTTTTATGTCTTCTTTTGAGAAATGTCTGTTCAGTTAATTTGCCCATTTTTAAATTGAATTCTTTGGTTTTTTGCTGCTGAATTGTTTGAGTTCGTTGTATATTCTGGATATTAATCCCTTGTTAGCTGAATAGTTTGCAAACATGTTCTCTCATTCAGCAGGTTGTCTCTTCACTCTGTTGACTGCTTCCTTTACTGTGCAGCTTTATAGTTTTATACAATCCCACTTGTATATTTTTGCTTTTGTTCTTGAGGTCTTCTCCATAAAGCATTTGCCCAGACCAACATCCCAAAACATTTTCTCTGTTTTCTTCTAGAAGTTTCATAGCTTCAGGTCTTGCATTTAAGTCTTTAATCCATTTTGAGTTGATTTTAATATATGGTGAGAGATAGGGGTCTAGTTTCATTCTTCTGCATATGGACATCCAGTTACCCAGCACCAATTATTGAAGAGACCATCCTTTCCCCAATGAATATTCTTGGCAACTTTGTTGAAAATCAGCTGGCTCTATATACTTGGCTTTATTTCCTGGCTCTCTATTCTGTTTCATTTGTCTACAAGTTGCTTTCTTAAGTATATCATGTTACAATTATAAGTGCCAATTACCTTGACAGTTGATAGCACCCATGCACTTTTTTATTCGGGTGTTTGTTTTTCCTTTACATTCATCAGGGACAACTGGACTGTCATCAGGTGGAACCACGCAAGCTGACAATGAAATTCCAGATGCTGCTCTCTTCAGAGCAGGTGAGACAAAGAAATGAACCAGCTGCTGTCTCCACCATAGCTTGTTTCCACAGGTAGTCCTCTGATTCAGTTCAGCAACAGCCCTACCCTGAGTGCATCCTTAGATTACAGGGGCCAAGTGATAGAGTGATCTAAGTCACTTGGGTGACTTTGGGAAAAATTTAATGAGTTAATATTTATATATTAACAAAATACTACATATATATTTCTATGGCACATGAAAATTTCTGAATTATGCTCAAATATATAATATGTAATTTGGTCAACATTAACACCATGGTAGTTACCTGTCATTATTCCCATGAAGTGAGAAAATAATGGACAGTCTCCAAGCTGGCAAAGGCAGGATTAGAACAGAGTCCCAAGCCTCAAGGGCAGTAGCTCCATACATCTGTGATCTGTGTGGAAGAGCATCCATCTTATCCTTGTGCATCACCAACTAAATTTCACACATAGTTGGTTCATCATTAAAATATGGTTGATATTCTTTAAGCATAAATAACAAGCCTGAGTTCACACCACCCCTCATGCAATTGGTTAATTTTAATAACCTGCTCAGTTTCTTCTGTGCATCACATCTGCTTCTGCTTTTGTTCCGATGTAAACATTTTTCACCTCATCTCTGCACTTGTTTACCTAGCTCACCTTCCTCTAACACAGTGCTGTTCAGTGTGTAGTTCCTGTTCCAGAAGCCTTAGTATGTCCTGGGAACTTCTTAGTAAACCATGTAAATTTCTGGGTCCACCTGCCTAGAATCAGGAGCTGTTGGAGGGGCGCCAGCGAGCAGTGTATTAACAGGCCCTGACTCCAGTGATACTCATCAAGGTTGAGAACCACAGCTCTGACAGTTACAATTTTTCCCTCTTTCCTCCCAGTTTGCACCCTACCCAATATGGTGCCAGAATGAACTTCTAAAACTTCAACTATCATCACTCTACTACTTAAAGTTCTTCAGTTGTTCTGATAGCTTTTAAGATGTATTGAAACTCTCTCACATACTATTAACAGCCATTTTTAGTGTATGCATGGAATTAATCTCTTTGCATTTATTAACTAATCTGTGGGGCCTTATTTAATTTTCCTACATTTATTTTTTCTTAGCATTTTTTTGTTTTAAATTTTGTGACAAATACTTTTTTGAGATAAAATATAATTTACATAAAAAGTGGTTGGAAAGATAAAAGCTGCATACAGCAGCACAAATTAAGAAACAGGATATTTCCGGTTAGATCAGTAAACGGATTGGAGTTTTAGGGTGATAGTCATTTAGTTTATATTTCCTAATATCTGAATCAGAATTGCTTGGGTGATAATGACAAATCATTCAGCTGTCTCTTTTTGTTATCTGGCAGAAGGTACAGTGGTTTGAGCAGGGCTACTCAAAGTTGAGATCACAGATGAGTGCCACCCAGAACTGTTTGTTACTTGTCTATGATGAGATAGGAACTGAAACAGAGAACGAGCATTTAGAGACAAGCTACTTGACACAATGAACTTATGTCTGTTGAAAAAGGATTGTGTTTTGCATGGTTTTATGTTTAAGATTTCAATTCTCTTTAGTTTTATGGCATTTTCAAAGCATGAATCTTGGACAGACTGAAAATTTTATAAAATTCATCTTTGGCCACAGATGGTTTGGGAAACACAGATTGGAGTATAAACTGTGGGGCTAGAGTGTTGAAATTTGGCCTGTGGATCTGCTGTTGACCAACAGGATGTCCTGGAGCAAGTCACTTAAGCACGTCTGATGAATGGAAATAATAATATTACATGT